CAACGCTCGCACCCCAAAACCCACTGCTTAATGTCCATGGACATTCCAGGCCAATAACAGCGCTGTCTTACCAGCTCTGTGGTGCGTTCAATCCCCTGGTGTCCATGCTCCTGATGGAGCTGGTGTAAAACCTCTTGTTGGAGGACTGCAGGCAACATGAGCCGAACAGATTCCTCCCCCCCATCGGAATGAAACACCCGGCGGAAGAGGACTCCCTCCAGCTCCACCAACCGGTCCCACCGGCGCAAGATTGCCATAACAGGCCTAGACAGTTGACGCTAGACAGTTGACGAAGGTCGGCCGCGGAGTGGGCAGGAAATGCTGAAATCACCGACTGGGTGGCCAGCAGCCCGGACTCCGTGTCTGGGTTCTGCTGAAGGTGGTCGGGCACCGATGTGCCCAGCAACACAGGCCGCCAACACTTCAGATCCAGTTACATACTGTCGTGACAGCGGACTGCAGGTAACTCAATGGATTGTTGTCACACCTGTGACCCAACAAGTACTCCCTAAATTTTTCAGTCATGGCCCAGTTCAGCGCAAGAAATTCCAACTTCATAGAACTGTAGTTGGACATATTGCGCTCAGGGGGACGGAGACCTCTACTAGTGTAGGCCACTGGCCTCACACCAGTCTCAGTTTCCTGTGAGAGCACAGCCCCCAACCCATGATGGCTGGCATCAATCTCCAAGATGAAAGGACGTGAAAAGTCTGCATAGGTCAGCACTGGGGCCGAAACCAGCTTTGCCTTCATTGCCTCAAACCCTTCCTCACACTGAGGTGTCCAAGAGGTTTCTAATGCCTGGTTCGACCCCCGCTTTGACCTTGTACCAGCCAGCGCGGCCACCAAGCGGTGTAGTGGTGCTGCCAACTGGGCAAAGCCCTCCACAAACCGCCGATAATAGCTAGCGAAGCCCAAAAAGGAACGCAACTCTGAGATGTGCTTAGGCCGCTGCCAACTGGCCACTGCCTCAATCTTCTTGGGGTCCATAGAGACCCCTTCGCTAGAAATAACGTGGCCCAGATAGCCAACCTCCTGTTTGAAAAACGCACATGTTTGGCTTTCAAGCCCTCGCTCTGGAGACGACCAAGCACAGTTTCCAACCTCTGCAGATGTTGTTCCACAGAGGATGAGAATACAATGATGTCATCCAGGTAAAGCAACAACGACTGACCCTGATGTTCACCAAACATGCGCTGCATCAGCCGCTGAAACGTGCTGGGAGCATTACACAACCCAATAGGCATGCGGTTGAACTCAAAGAGTCCAAACGGCATGCAAAAAGCAGTCTTGGGCCGATCTAGCTCTGACATAGCGACCTGATGGTACCCGCTGGCCAGATCAATAGTGGAAAACCAGCGAGCCCCAGAAAGCGCATCCAGACTGTCCTCAATGCGTGGCAGAGGAAAAGCGTCCTTTCTAGTCTTGCTGTTTAGCAGACGGTAGTCCACGCACAACCACAGACTACCATCCTTCTTACGCACCAGAACAATTGGTGATGCATAAGGACTACTACTCTCCTGGATCACCTGCGACTCTAAAAGTTGGTTAATGTGGATCCTCACAGCCTCATACTCTGAAGGAGGGATTCGCCGATATCTCTGTCGGATGGGAACATCATCCAGAAGAGGAATATCATGAGAGATGAGATTTGCACATCCCAGGTCATTGTCATGGGCTGAAAAGACTGACTGATACTTATGAAGTAGAGACTTTACGCTACTCTGCTCCTGCTCAGTTAAGGCAGAGATGTCCACTGAGTCTAGTTGGTCAGACACAGAAGGAGAAACAGTGTGAGACGAGACCACTGCTACAGCGGGACTAACCTCGGTCACACTCGCCGGCCGGCTGATAACCTGGGCGTCCACCACAGTACCCAGGCATGTCCGTGGGTAAAGCACAACCTCTGTGGTCCCCACATTCACCACAGGAACATACACAGTACCCCGAACAACATGCACAAGGCAAGGAGAAGCCAAAAGCCCGGCTGGTAACCCTGACTCGGGAGGTTCAAACAGGGCACTTTGACCAGACAACTGTTCACAACAAGTGCTAGCAACCAACGTTAAGGTGCCACCAGAAATTCGCACCACTCTCCTACCCCGGACCCTCACCGCCCCGGTAAAACTCTTTGGGTCAGGTGTGACAGACTGATGGCACTTCTGTAGGGCCACCAGAACTGGGCCTGGTGCCTGGGAGACGGAAGGAGAGTCAAAAAGAGAAGAACCAAAAGTTCCAAATAACTCATGATAACATTTGCGAATCACGTTCATTCCAAAAATGCCAGGGACAGACGACACAGCACCGGGAGGGTCCTTGACGACCAGGACTCCACAATGGGGCAACACCTTATCACAAAGCTCCACGTCTAGCTCCAAGTAGCCAACATAGGGGCGTTCATGACACCAGGGTGCAAACTGTGCTAAAAAAAAGCTCTCTGTTATGGTCGACTGTCATAGTGCAAAAACTTGAGGACTCAAAGGCAGACTCGGTACAGTTCGAAGGGGTAACAAAAGGGTTTTATTGATAGGTCCAACAGGGCAGAATGGAGAACACGGAGGAGGGGAGTAAGTCCAGGTAAGATACGTGGCGTTCAGCAGGGTTCCTGGAGGTAGGGTGATCCTGGGCACAGAGAAAAACAGGTTAATCCAGGGAGAGACAGAAATTACTGGGAAACTTACAGGAGAAGGTTGTCGGCCTTGACGCATGTACCACATGTGGTTAACTGACGATCTGGCGAAGAATGTGAGGAGGACTGGGGTTGAAATACTGCAGGAGCTTGATTAGTGGAATGAGAACCAGGTGCGCCGCTGGAGCCAGAGAGTGTAGCCACGCCCAGACAGACACAGACAGGGAGGACAGACAGAAAACACAGGGAAGGGGGGAACAAAAGAACACAAGGTAGTGGGGAGATCCTGTAGCACCACAACAGTCGACACCATAGAACCAGTGTCCACCAGACAAGAAACGTCAACCCCTCCGATTGAAACAGTGAGGTTTGGGCACGGAGCAACTAAACCAAGAGGGGCACCATCCCGCGAGCCTATGGTTTCCCCAACTGAGCAGTGGCTCAACAACTCAGTGGGCTTCAGTTTTCCGACGGTTGAGGTGGATGCAAAAACCCAGCCGCTGAATTGGTACGTCTACGGCAGAAAGGAACCCTCTCGCCATCACACTCTCGCGCAAAATGGCCAGGCTGCTGGCACCTTCTGCAAAGGAGGTGTAGGTTGCGAGGAGTCGTGCCATGGGGGCGAGACGCCTGTAACGAGGACACAGTCTGGGTCAGGTGATCTAGCTGCTGTTGCTGGCGCTTCAAAAGGTCCTTCAACTCACCGAGATCCGGACCTGATAAACTTACACTAGATGGGGGTTGAGTACAACTGTGTACCCCAAACTGGAACCCATGAGCGGACGACGGCGAAAAACTACATCCCCTAACACCCCCTGGAAGGCCCTCTCTTTCCCACCTGATAGCCTCACTGCGTAACTCCAAAAGAGTGGCAGTGGGTTGGCCACGCACCAGCTGTTTAAGCTCCCGACGAAGGGAACTATCCATAACATGCTCAACAAATTGGTCTCTAAGGAGAACCTCTGAACTGGGCATCCCATCAGGGGCGTGCTGTTTAACTTGTGCCATTAAGGCCAGTAGGGCTAGGGAGAATTCCTGCAATGTTTCCCCTTCAAGCTGGTGACAGGGAAAAAAAGCCTGCTGTAAAGTAACATATGACTGATTACAGCCATAAAGCTCCTTTAAAATGGCACAAATCCTGTCTGGATCTCTCCGTTCAGTGCTGGAGCAAAACTTAATCTCCTCCCTTGCTTCTCCCCCCAAATGGTCAACCATGAGAGTCAACAGAGCCTGATCTGGGGCAGAAAGATAACGAGCACGTGCACACATCTGCACCTCCTCTAGCCACTCAACAATACCTACCCCTGTTCTGCCAGTGAATATAGGGCACTTACGATCTCGAGGAAGGACGACCAACCGTTCTGGGGCAACAGCTGCTAAACCTGCTGACGGGGCACCACCAGCCACAGCCGAAGGAATGGGGGAGGCCCTACCAGAGCTCCCCGATGAACCCGCCTGCTCCTGAAGATGTTGTGCATTGTCTGCCTTTAGTTGTAACACTAGCTCCCTTAACTGCTGCACCTCTTCCTCCATACCAACCGTGGGGGGATGTAATGCACCTCAACCATTTTCACCACCAATTGATTCCTCAATGCAAACACTGCTGCCTCGGCTCCGCCCTGGGTACAAGCAGTACCTGTAAGAAAATAAAACAAATTAAATACAAAACACAACACAAAAAAAAAAATGCTAAAGTAAAACTAAACAAAAACACAGTTGAACAAAACATACATAATTAATCAAAAGGTCAATGGAAACAATTCTCTGTCCTGAATTCAATTACTTCAATCCTGCTGACAACGCCAGAATGTAGCAAGACGAGGGTGTGATTCCATTTAAATACGTAATACTAACTTAAATAAGTTGCCAACAACGGCACTTAGGGAATTTCGCCCTAGGAAATATTGATAGGTCACACAGGTTCGTATGAAATAAGGCCAGGGCAGAGAGTGTTTCACATTTAAACAAATAATTTTATTAACAAAATACTAAGTAACTTAACAAAAAGAAAGAAACCACACCAACTACATATACTAATTAAGAAGGCATGCCATTACTGAATAAAATTAAAAGTATGGGCCTAATTTAATATACAATATACTATTTAAAATACACAGTGGCTAAAAGGATAAAGCAAAACACACCAAAATGAATCAAAACATACAGATCAATTAATTCAAACCAACCAAAATTGAAAACACACACACACACACACACCACAAAATGCCAATTGTATAAATATACAATAACTAGACCCAACCAACAACAAAAAAAAAGGCTAAAACCGGCAGCCCGCTTAGAGCTAAGACACAGCTGGAACTGGGCCGACCAGGCAGAGGGCAATCCCACAGGGGGAGAGAGAGCGACACCCAAAAAAAACAGACCAAGCCGCCGTTCAAACCCCCGCTGAGGCAGCAGTGCAGCAGATCACTGAAGGGAAGGGAAGATTTCGCACCATTTATATTATATTTCGCATGGTATATATTCAATCAAATGGAATACAATACGAGACATGCATACATACCCCCCACGGTTCCACAGCGCACACACATAACCAGCCAAAGGCCAGATCGAGACAGCCCGCACAGCAACGATTCGCTCTAAAACAATCAAGGGAGCATTGTGTTTAACCGCGATACACTACCTGCACACAGCTAATGGCATGCAAGCAGACAGCACACTTACCACACGGACCGAGAGCAGTGTCGCGTGCATACAGGATGCTGCAGGTTTAGGGATATTAACCACCGGCTAAACTGTTGCGCTGCAGGCCATAACAGCTGTAACAGCACTCGCATCAGTACACCACAACGCCGGATCACTGTCACCAACAGCCAAAATGCCCAGTCCAGGTAAGAAAGAGACTGACACAGGTGCATCACCACCTGTACTTATAGGCCACGGCAGGGGCATCCGGTTGTCAAGGCACCAGCGCAGTGCCATATAGTGGCGGGAGGGAGAAAAACCCTCAACCTGCCACACGTGCATGCTATTTGTCCGAGCGGACACAGTGGGGAGAGAGAGGGAGAGAGAGAGTGAGTTGTGGGGCAGATGCGTACTGCGCCAGAAACCATAATGAAAAGAACAGAAAGTTGTGAACACTTGTCATAATTCAGGAGAAATGTGACCCGTGAGAGGACAATGAAAAACGGGAGTGTCCTGCGAGCTAACCGGAGATAACCTCTGTTGCTCCTTGTTTACTTCTGCAGCCTGCAACAGCATGCTGTGTGTGACGTCGTGTTATTCTTCTGTGCATGCGGGTCACTTTCAGGCCGTGTACAACAAAAAAAATTGGATCTGGGAAAAAAATCGGAAACAGTCTGAATGTTGCCTAATTCTATCTATGGATGATTGCCTACCCAGCCCTGCACACTGCTCCTATACCTGTCACTGTTTCTGGTTGCATTGTCCTCCTCCTGCTGCTTCTGTTCCTCATCCTTCTCCTACAGCTCCTCCTGTTCCTCCTCCTCTTTCTGCTTCCAACTGTTGTTTATAATATATATAAAAATAATATAGCCTATATGCATATACATAAATGCATATATAAATAATAATAAGTATTAACTGCCTGTGCTGGGGCCTCATCTGTGCTGCCACAGCACCTTTCCACCAAGGAAGAGGTCAGTTAATTTGGCACAATTTACTGCCTCGTGCCACATTTATTTTTCCTCTTTCTTTTCGACATATTTACCTGCGCTGTTGTGCTCGTCACACAAACCTGGGCTGAGTTCAGCCCCAACAAAACGTTTTGAGATTGAACACCCAGCTGGAAAGTAAACTCCTTTGATCTGTGCCATTGAGCCAATCAGATTTCAGCAAAAATGAGGATCGGTCCATATTGGAAGGGGCTGCTCATATTAGTAAAGTATCAGTTTGGCCCAGTCTATAGATAGATACAGTGGGTACGGAAAGTATTCAGACCCCTTTACATTTTTCACTCTTTGTTTCATTGCAGCCATTTTCCAAAAATCAAAAAAGTTCATTTTATTTCTCAGTAATGTACACTCAGCACCCCATCTTGACAGAAAAAAACAGAAATGTAGAAATTTTTGCAAATTTATTAAAAAAGAAAAACTGAAATATCACATGGTCATAAGTATTCAGACCCTTTGCTCAGTATTTAGTAGAAGCACCCTTTTGATCTAATACAGCCATGAGTCGTTTTGGGAAAGATGCAACAAGTTTTTCACATCTGGATTTGGGTATCCTCTGCCATTCCTCCTTGCAGATCCTCTCCAGTTCTGTCAGGTTGGATGGTAAACGTTGGTGGACAGCCATTTTCAGGTCTCTCCAGAGATGCTCAATTGGGTTTAAGTCAGGGCTCTGGCTGGGCCATTCAAGAACAGCCACGGAGTTGTTGTGAAGCCACTCCTTCGTTATTTTAGCGGTGTGCTTAGGGTCATTGTCTTGTTGGAAGGTAAACCTTCGGCCCAGTCTGAGGTCCAGAGCACTCTGGAAAAGGTTTTCGTCCAGGATATCCCTGTACTTGGCCGCATTCATCTTTCCTCTCGATTGCAACCAGTCGTCCTGTCCCTGCAGCTGAAAAACACCCCCACAGCATGATGCTGCCACCACCATGCTTCACTGTTGAGACTGTATTGGACAGGTGATGAGCAGTGCCTGGTTTTCTCCACACATACCGCTTAGAATTAAGGCCAAAAAGTTCGATCTTGGTCTCATCAGACCAGAGGATCTTATTTATCACCATCTTGGAGTCCTTCAGGTGTTTTTTAGCAAACTCCATGCGGGCTTTCATGTGTCTTGCACTGAGGAGAGGCTTCCGTCGGGCCACTCTGCCATAAAGCCCCAACTGGTGGATTGCTGCAGTGATGGTTGACTTACTACAACTTTCTCCCATCTCCCGACTGCATCTCTGGAGCTCAGCCACAGTGACCTTTGGGTTCTTCTTTACCTCTCTCACCAAGGCTCTTCTCCCCCGATAGCTCAGTTTGGCCGGACGGCCAGCTCTAGGAAGGGTTCTGGTCGTCCCAAACGTCTTCCATTTGAGGATTATGGAGGCCACTGTGCTCTTAGGAACCTTAAGTGCAGCAGAATTTTTTTGTAACCTTGGCCAGATCTGTGCCTTGCCACAATTCTGTCTCTGAGCTCTTCAGGCAGTTCCTTTGACCTCATGATTCTCATTTGCTCTGACATGCATTGTGAGCTGTAAGGTCTTATATAGACAGGTGTGTGGCTTTCCTAATCAAGTCCAATCAGTATAATCAAACACAGCTGGACTCAAATGAAGGTGTAGAACCATCTCAAGGATGATAAGAAGAAATAGACAGCACCTGAGTTAAATATGAGTCTCACGGCAAAGGGTCTGAATACTTATGACCATGTGATATTTCAGTTTTTCTTTTTTAATAAATTTGCAAAAATTTCTACATTTCTGTTTTTTTCTGTCAAGATGGGGTGCTGAGTGTACATTACTGAGAAATAAAATAAACTTTTTTGATTTTTGGAAAATGGCTGCAATGAAACAAAGAGTGAAAAATGTAAAGGGGTCTGAATACTTTCCGTACCCACTGTATATAGACAGAGACAGCATTCGCAGCAGCTGACCGGCATGCCAGCTGGCGCAGTAACAGATCATTTAAAGTTGAACATAAGAAAGTGAAAAATAAAAACTCTTGAACACTGGCTGATTCAGCCTGAAATGGACCGGCCGTTTGGGAATGTTCCCGAAATTCCCAACTGCCAATCCGCCCCTGGCTGAGTGCACACTGCGAGACAACCACAGCTATCTTTGCCTTTACCAGAGGAAACCCCACTGTACAATCGCATATTGACTGCATTTGTAGCTCAACACCATATTATGTAATATCATTAATATAAATTGATAAAAAAATATTTAATTGAATCTTCCTATTGCATTCCAATTTACAGTTCCAGGGGTATGAACTTATTTGTGTAAACTGTAATTTATAGAAATTAATGGAAAAACTGGAAACTTTACAAAGCTAAATCACTGTTTAAGGTTTAACTATAATTATTTAATTATTAATTATTGCTAATTAAATGGTTGCCTTTTCTTGACCACTCAGATCTCTGCAACATACATACATGTGTTTGATCCCATTAATTTAGAAAAATGTTGACTGTGTTCAACTAAACTAATCTGACTCAATAAAATCACTTAAGGTTTAAGTTGTAGCCACTGAAATTATTTTAGGCACAGTTTACTACTACACTATACAGTACAGTATATCTAATATGATGTACTGTAACCTAATATTGCTACATTATTAAAGCAATATTATAGTTAAACACTTAAGACTTTAAGGGGAATTTGAGAAGTTGGGGGAATGGAGAGTTAGTGAAAAAGGAAAAACCACAACAAATTAATTTACTTTGGGATAAAAGAAATGATACAAAGTGACAAACGCCACTTCAACTAGTGAGAATCATGGCTATCTTTTCATTTTTTACCTTTAAAAAATCAGCTGTTAATCTCCTGAAGATGAAAATCTTATTTTCAAGAGAGATCTGGGCAAGAAGGTAACTAAATCTGAATTATGGCAATAAATATAATACAGAAGAACACAAACAGGCCAAGTAAACTGTCAAACAGTTATGTGATTATCCAATACATATACAGTACAGGTATTTCAATTCTAAACACATGGATTTTATTTGGATTATGCTACTGGTGACATAACATTGTTCACCAAGTTACAGTTGAGTTTTTTTAAATTGCTAACCTGTACTGCTCAAAACTCTTCACACAGTCAGCGAATCAGAAGTGTATGTGGACCAGACTGTGAATCATTTTTAATTGCATTCACACAAAATGCATTCAATGACCAAATTTGATTTCTCCAAAATCCATGAACACTTTTCTAATTACTACTAAACACTTGCAAAATACAGTATATTTGCAGTACATTTTTCAAATGCTAACACACTGTGTCCAAAACTGATCAAGACAATCTCCTGAACTCCAAACTGAATGTCAGAATTGGAAAGAAAGGTGATTTAAGCAATTTTGAGCGTGGCATGGTTGTTGGTGTTGGAGTATTTCACAATCTGCTCAGTTACTGGGATTTTCACGCACAACCATTTCTAGGGTTTACAAAGAATGGTGTGAAAAGGGAAAAACATCCAGTATGCGGCAGTCTTGTGGGCGAAAATGCCTTGTTGATGCTAGAGGTCAGAGGAGAATGGGCCGACTGATTCAAGCTGATAGAAGAGCAACTTTGACTGGAATAACCACTCGTTACAACCGAGGTATGCAGCAAAGCATTTGTGAAGCCACAACACGCACAACCTTGAGGCGGATGGGCTACAACAGCAGAAGACCCCACCGGGTACCACTCATCTCCACTACAAATAGGAAAAAGAGGCTACAATTTGCAAGAGCTCACCAAATTGGACAGTTGAAGACTGGAAAAATGTTGCCTGGTCTGATGAGTCTCGATTTCTGTTGAGACATTCAGATGGTAGAGTCAGAATTTGGCGTAAACAGAATGAGAACATGGATCCATCATGCCTTGTTACCACTGTGCAGGCTGGTGGTGGTGGTGGTGTAATGGTGAGGGGGATGTTTTCTTGGCACACTTTAGGCCCCTTAGTGCCAATTGGGCATCGTTTAAATGCCACGGCCTACCTGAGCATTGTTTCTGACCATGTCCATACCTTTATGGCCACCATGTACCCATCCTCTGATGGCTACTTCCAGCAGGATAATGCACCATATCACAAAGCTCGAATCATTTCAAATTGGTTTCTTGAACATGACAATGAGTTCACTGTACTAAAATGGCCCCCACAGTCACCAGATCTCAACCCAATAGAGCATCTTTGGGATGTGGTGGAACGG